TATTGCATCACTACTGGGGACTGATCCCTGCATCACTGTGTAGGTCAATTAACCCATACACATTAGAAGGAATGTATCTATTTGTCATTTGATCTCTTACTGTGCTTCATTTCTCTCTCTCTCACACACATACACCCCACCCCCCCCCCCCGCTCTGAATGTGTTTGTATGTTTGTGTGTTCCTGGATCTTGCTGTCTCTATATCTCTTTCTACCTGTCTGCCTCTCCTTGTTTCGTATCTCTTGCCCATATTGTCTCATTGACATAATGATCAACAAAATAATTAAAATAAAGGTCAAGTTTTCCACGATTTCAGCCGTATTGTGTATATAAGGCTAGACCTATATTTTATAGACCAAACGGAATTTGGTGGGTGATGTGGTGAGCATTACGCCTGTCGCCTTTTTTATTTACTTAACAGTAACCTGGCTGCACGCTTAAATGTTTATCTAAAAAGTAACAACCAGACAATAAGTAGAACTATTCTATATCGCATTAACACAGTTATGAACAATGTGGGTATTGATGGCCACTCAAAAGCAGCAAGCAGAAAATAATATGTAAAATACATTCCTAACTGTTGGATGGACAGCTAATGCTGGAAATTTCATGGCCATAATGCTTTGTTTAAAAACGCTTGCGAATCCACAGCTACAGACTGTAGAAAATTTGCAAGTACTGAAGTATGCTCCTGTCAGTCAAATAAAGGAGCTGTTTCCTATCTCTGCCGTATTGGCCATAAAGTGCTAGACGACAGATTTTGTATAGACTAATTGCAGGCTATGCATGGAAGCCCCCCATAATACAGATTATATAAAGGTAGAAAGTGAGACCATATTAAAAAAACCATCTGGTTTAAAGAAAGATGATACTTGTCTTCAAACTTGGCGATAAAAAAAATTATAAGGAAATTTAAAAAAATAAAAGAAAGGTAAGAAACTACAAGAATACTTGGTTATGCAGATGACATTGATATTGTTTCTGCCCTGTCAAAAAAAAAAAAAAAAAAAAAACAACAACAACAACGGTACAGAAAATTTAAGAATAAATGAGTGCACCAAACGTCTGACGGTCTTGAAACAGAGTCCTTCTGACAGTATGAACAACATTGATGAAAGCCGAAAGGAAGCCCATGATGGGAGAACAAGGCTACTGGACGTCAAAACCAAACTGAAAAAGGGTTTCTGGAATGTGAGAACCGGTCTGAAGCAGCCAAAACCGCCCAGGTAATTAAAGAAATGCAGAGCTATAAACAGCATATTCTGTGAATGAGGGAAAGAAGATGGACAGGTTTTGGAGAATCCACAACGGATAAAGGAGAATGAATCTTTATATACCTGCTACAACAGCTCTCACTCAGAGACCAAAGGAAAAGAGAAAGAAGGGGAGCTAAAAACAACAACAACAACAACAACAACAACAACAAAAACAGGGAGATGAACGATGGAAAGTGAACTGAGCTGCATCTCTAACATGGAAATCTGCACTGAATATTGCATAGGACATGAAGGCATGGAAAATCCTCTTTAAAGCCCCATGTGCCACTAGGCATAAAGGGACCTCAGAAATGGGATTGGTATCATTGAAGAAAATGAACTAGAGATGGTAAAAAAATGAGAAATATATAAACTCCGTCCACATGCAAATCGATAATATGAAAATCAAACGAATGTAAACATATAGGCATTTTTGTGCAAACTTCAACTGCTCGAACATGCTGAGAGAAGAAATATAGTCTAGAATACAATCCCTACCCTTTAACATCTGTTAAAGTCAAAGTCTCTATCTTACAACACCAACATATAGAAAACAAAGATAAGTTCTTTTATATGGCTCTGAAACTTGGAGCAGAAGTAAAAGAGATGAAGCATCAATACAACTTTTCGGAAACACTCTTACGACGAATCTTTGGACCTATCAAAGATGCAAACAGCGGGAAATGGAGCGTGAGAAGCCAGAACGAAATTTATAATCTATTTAAATCACCATTGATCACTGGCATTATGAGGGCTAACAGACTAAAATGACTGGTGCATATTGGGAATGTGAGACGACAGTGGGGTAAAAACTGTATACACAAGAAAACTAAATTTAAAAAAAAAAAATCTGCCTCCTTTCGGATTTTAGTCCCACAACCAACGGACAAATATGTCAGCGTCTAGCCACTACACCAGGGCAGTTTCCTGCAAACATCACAGCCTAGTGGTACACCACAACAAAGTGTGCTAACTGCTTGTTTTAAGGACGAACGCAGAAAAAAGGACAAGACGCCTGACCTAAAATCAGAGTCGAAGAAATAATCAAATGAAACGCGTGACTTGGTAGTGAAGACGGCGCCAGGCTTGGGAAGTGGCGTAAATTATACTGTCTACCAACAGTCTTGGCTATCACAGACAAGCCACTGGGAGCTTCTGGCACGCACTGGGACCGCTAACGTCATTGTCACGGGGACTGCTACTGTGTGGCCACATAAGCGAACATGACACCTTATTATTGAATTACTCAAGAAGCAATAAAACAATGAACGCTCTGATATTTATACACACACATACACATCCACGCACTAGCACACCCACTCCACATACACAGACACACACACAAGCACAACTACACCCACCATACATACACACAAGTGTGCTTGCTGTAGAATAACAATCTAAAAGTCTGAATAATGTAAAATAATGAAATCGTGGGAAACACTCTTTTAAATTAGAGCTGAGAGACAAAATGAGTTAACATACTTGAATAATGAATATTTATACATAATAAACAGGCAATATTTTGATCGGAACTAACAGGAAAAAAAGACTGACGTAATGACGCACTAGACAACATACTTAAGCTATATTTGCCGTGCCGGGAATCGAACCTGTCCCCCCAAATGACGAACGCGCCTCGCCGCAGAAACAAGTTACATGACCAACTTGGCACCCATTAAAAGGTATCTCTATTAGCCCTGCCTGTCGTACAGCTTGCAATCCACAACTATAGAGTACAACCAGAATTCGTCTCAAAAGAAATTATAAAAAAGAAGTAAAAAAACGTTTACCAAATATTGCAAAAAAGAAACATTAATATTGTCTGTCCAGGCACAGTGAAGACCAAAATTTGTTCTTGAATTTTAAGAAAAAAAAAAAATGTCCACAGATAATACTGGCTGTCACCCAAAAAATAACAATAAATGATGTAAACTTTGAATGTCAAGACTCTTTAATATACAATGGAGACAGTTTGACAGAAAAAGGAGGATGGCTATAGCAATGCAAAGATTAAACAGCCTTAAAAGACTATGGTTAAGCACCAGCAAGGAGATCGAAATTAGAATTTTGAAAGCATGCATCTTCCCTGTGGATACATACAGACGTGAGTCGTGGATTATCTCTCAGTCCTTGAGAAAGAGAATAGTGGCTTTTCAGCTGAAATGCTAAAGAAAGATTCTCAGAATATCTTAGACAAATAAAAGGAGAAATACTGACATCTTGAAAGGTCCGATATCAAGTAAGATTGGCTAGTAAAAAGCATCCTGTCTCGGAAGCTGAAATATTTTGGTCATATCAAGCGCCACGACGGATTGGGAAAAAAAATAAATAAAACAGAAGGCATGGTATCAGGAAGTAGGAGCAGGGGCCGACCCATACGAAGATAGACACAGGATCTAAGTGCCTCCTTCAGTATGAAAGTACACGAGAAAAGAGAACTGGCGAGAGACCTAGTTTCTTTCAAGCAGACTGTGATGAGGGCGACGTTTCGCAAAGGACCTGCTACATGATGGATGGATGAGTTGCGGGAACTGAGGAACTTTTCCAAACACTAAAAAAGGCGTTAGAAAGGGATGTTTACTATTACCAATTTTTTTTTTCAATTCATTTGGTGAAATAATAATTAGATCCATACGTGGTATGGCAGGAATATCAGTTGGTGGGCATATTGTTAATAGCCTGCGATATGCTGACGATATAGTTTTGATCGATGAAAATGAAACATAAATAAAAGAAATGATGGATATAATTATAACGGAAAGTGTAAACAAGGGTCTTCGTTTAAACAGCAGAAAACAAAATTAATTTTAATTACAAAGAAAACAGACTCCCTAAAATGCAACATAAAAGTAAATAGGACAAACCTTAAGAAAGTTGATATGTTTAAGTACTTGGGTAACCTGATAACATCAGATGGAAGATGTATTAAAGAGGTTAAATGTCGAATAGCTCAAGCAAAAGCAGCATTAAAAAAAATGAATATATAGTACGGAAAAGAGAATTCATTAAAGCTAAGTACTTCATATCTTGATGTACAGTAATGAATCATGGACAGTTGGATAATCAGTGAAAATGTATTTTGAAGCTGCGGATATGTAGTTTTTACAGACTTATGATGAGAATACACTGGACAAATAGAACGAGTAATGAAGACGTCTTGAAAGAAACTGACTCACGAAGAGTCTAATTCATTGGTCACGTGATAAGAAGGAGAAAACTGGAATACACTGTGACAGTAGGAAATTTGGAGGGAAGGAGAGGCAGAAGGAGACGGAGAGAACAAATGCTGGACAGTCTGACATCATGGCATGAAGGATTATCTGTGATACAGGTGACTAAAAGTAAACGAGACAGAAGGTTTCGGATAGACATGACTACCAACGCCACACGGCATGGACTTTAAGAAGAAGAAGAAGAAGCTGGTACTGAAAAAGTTAATGGCTACAAGAACCACCAATGTTAGTCATTGTACTTGAAAGAGAAACAAACTGAACAGTGAAAACGTATCAGAACAAAAAATATGTACACTATATTGTTTGTGCACTTAATATTACAGTTTACAAGGGAAAAATGTGTTTTGAATAAGCTTTATTTTGCCTAAACAAAACATTATTTTAACTGAGAAATTCAAAATCCGACTGCAAGAGAAGACGCCTTTTTTTAACTTGCAACTTGCAGCGTAGTTTAGGTCTGCCTGTTGCAAACTCTAGTTTCTACAAGATACATAACTAGGAATCTTACCTGGAAGCCATCATAGGCCCACGATCCCAGGACTAATCCACACAATTGGTCGTCAAAAGGGAAGAAAGTGATGTCCATTTTACAGGAACTCCGCATGCGCACGATTGGTGGCCAGAAAACGTTTCCGTCACTTGAAACCATGGCTAGACTCTTCATGTAGCCTTTATTGTGGTTGTCAACGCTGGGAAAAAAAAAACAAAGACACTTGCTATTCTTGAATTTTGAGCAGAGCGAGCCGTAGCATAATTGCTCCACAACTTCAGTTCCTTCTAATCATATATATTTTCTGACTTTTACCCAAATATACATGGGTTACATAAGGACTGAGCAACAGAGACTGAAATGATGAATCCACCAAGTGAGAATGAATCCAACAATCTGGCAGAGAAAGCGTACATGAAAATGGAAACATCAAGTGGTAGAGGGAGACCACCACCCCCCCCCCCCCCAAAAAAAAAAAAAAAATAATAATTTGAATTGACTGGGAATCACTGACGACTTAAGACCACTCATCGTCATATCAAACAAGCAGCCGAGCGCACCCTAGCTCCGCTACTTATAATCTGTTAAACTGCAACGCTTAGCAGCACAAATCAGATACTGACAACGGACAAGTGACACACAAGGGCATGGTAGTCGTTCTTAAATTACCATATATAGGTAATGTATTATTGTTAAACTAACGGTTTGGAGAAAAATTTAATGGAGTTCATGGAAGAAGAGGCAGGGGTCGAGATGCACAATGGTGGACACAGGATATCACGGAGACCCTGGGCATAAATTTTACGTAGTGGGAAGTTTGGAAGCGAACGAGTAGTTTTCTGGCGAGCCGTGATGGAAGCGACGTTCTTCAAAAGACTTGCTACTTTTTCATTATTAAACCTGAATAATGAGTTATCAATTAGTCGATTAGTGAAAAAGTATATGGAAGTAGCGGAGGTGGTTTTATAGAAGAATGATGCCCGGCTCTCTAGCGAAGTTGGTTAAACCTGACTTTCGCTGCGGCAGGGTGAGAACTCCTTGTGGTCCGGGTTCACTCCCGGGGGTAGGCAGAAAAGCCACATATCTCCCAGATTAACGGTACCTATAATAGAATCAAGGCCGAAGGGTTGCGATATCCATAATACCGAGCCAAAGGGTTTACAACTCATGGTTTCTGGATACGTTAAAAAAAAATAAAAAAATAGAAGAATGATAAGAGCACCGTATACAGGCAAAAACACATTACGGATGCATTTAAAGCTAGTTGACTCACAAAGACAAAAGACCAGTACACCAAGGGAAAAAGGCAGTCCACACACTCTGCTCATATCACATGAAGAGAAAAACTAAAATAATTTTTTAGGGTGGGGGAGTTAAAGAGATAGACTCAGAGGGAGACCAATAGAGACAATTCTGGACAGGTTAGCATCATGACTTGAAAGAACATCTGTAACAGAAAGGATTGACAATAACCTGCTTGTCAGAAGGTTATGGGCATAATACTTTCAAGACTGGAGAGTCAGACTTTCGCCTGTATGGACAGGCACCCCAGAATACTGAACATATGCTACAGACATGCTCTCACCCTGCAGTAGAGAGATCCCAGGTTTGGGCGTTTGGCATTCTAATGGAAACCCAGCTGTATTGAGCAGTGGAAGATATTCGTCGCACCACAGACTTGCATCGCCGTGAACCTATGCTGGTATGACAATGTGCAGGAAAACCACTGATTTGTTTTCAGGTGTGATTGTCAGCTTTTCAGTTTCTACTATAATTTTCTTCATTGTCCTGTTGTGTCATTATATATCACATAGGGCTCGCAGTCTATTCTTCCATTCTGTTCTATCCTGTGCCTTCAGTTGGATATTACGGTTGCAACTCAGTCTATCAGCTTTTGCCTCTCTCATCAGCGCTCGTCTTGGGGTTTCTTTTGGGCGTCCACACCTTCTCAGTTACTTTATTTCCCATTTCAATGCCTGTTTGGTGATTCTCTGCTGGCTTATTCTCAGAATGTGTCCAATGTAGCGCCTTATTCTGCGTTCGACACCAGTCATGCTAAACATTGAGTCCCGTCTGGGTCAAAAATAGGATTGTGCGTTTAAGGTCGCCACCAGTCCTCCATAGCTTCTCAGTAGCTTGGAGTGGGCCCCTTCGAGGCAGGGAGCCCGACGCCATCCCCACCCATCCACATCCCATAGGAATGATACCATAACGTAATATAATGTTGTTTGCATGACCATATCGATAGTGCGCAGATGCCCGATTTTTAGTCCCGTGCCAAGTAGGCTGACATCTTCCGACTTCGACGGTTAAGGTTTATTTTCAGGATTCCACCTCACATAGGCTGATTGCCTTCCAGGGCTTATGAGCTCTGCCTACCCACATTTTCTGTTGGGCTTTGTTGCCCTAGCCTTTGTTCTTACGGGAATTTCCCACAAGGCAGTTGTGGTTTGGCATTCGGTGTGTAATCAACGAAGCAACAAGTAAAGAAACCTGATATCCTGTAGTATGTAGCGGTGGAAAACATTGCAAAGTGTTTGCCTTGAAAAAATCTTGGTTGCTAGCGCCGCCATACCGGAAGGCCTTCTTCTGTCTTATAACAGTTAATAATAGTGGTTGCCCAGACACTTCTCTTATTTTTTTCCTCCTTTCCATTTTAATTTCATCATTTTCGTCAAGCATTTGTTTTCGAATGCATTTAACTTTCGTTCATGTCTCTAGTGGTTTTCCCACTTCCATTAGTATTTGTTAACACTGAAATAACTTTAGAACTGAAAATGCGTAACTTGGTTTTAAAACTAAACAGTTTATAAAGTTCCATACTTAGTTCAAGCTATTACAAGTTGCAGATTTCTTGTCAATGAGTTCCATAATTTCTTTCTTTGTATTTCCTTCACTTTCAAAATTGCTACCTAAATCAGTTACTTAAATTACTTTTGTCTCTACCGTTACATCTGCTTGATGTGTTGCTGGTGTCCTCGCATATTTATCTTTTCATAATTTACTTGTAGTCCAACCTTTGATGCTATATTTGCTAAATCATATGTTTTTTCTCTGCCAGTCTTTGCTGTTTTTATTTCACAGAACAATACCATCAACAAAATCTAGATCTTCAGCTGTGTATTCTTCTCCCGGTCAATGCTGATGCTTCCAACACATGATTTGTTTCATCACCTTATCCAGTGATTCCCAAACTGTGCGTTACGGCGCCTCGGAGAACCGCGACCTCCTCACAGGGGCGCCCCGAAATATTCGAAGATTCCGGAGTTTTATTTGTTTTTATCTCTTACATACGAATATTCATACTTTTACATAGGCTAGGGCACCGTGGAGAATCTTTAATTTAAAAAAAGGCGCCGCGACTAAGACAAGTTTGGGAAACACTGACCTAGTCAATGATCATGAAAAAAAAAAAAGGAAATAAATTGCATCGCTGTTTCACTCCAGTATCAACTTCAAACCCCATTCTCTTTTAGCCTTTTCACTCCAGCGTCAACTTGAAACCACATCCCCTGTTAGCACTTTTACTTTAGTATCAGCTTCAAACCACATCCCCTGTTAGCATTTTAACTTCAGTATCAGCTTCAAACCACATCCCCTGTTAGCATTTTAACTTCAGTATCAGCTTCAAACCACATCCCCTGGTAGCACTTTCACTGTAGTATCAACTTCAAACTACATCCCCTGTTAGCACTTTCACTTCAGTATCAACTTCAAATCACATCCCCTGGTAGCACTTTCACTGTAGTATCAACCTCAAACCACATCCCCTGTTAGCACTTTCACTTCAATATCAACTTCAAACCACATCCTCTTTTAGCCTTTTCACTCCAGCATCAACTTGAAACCACATCCCCTGTTAGCATTTTAACTTCAGTATCAGCTTCAAACCACATCTCCTGTTAGCATTTTAACTTCAGTATCAGCTTCAAACCACATCTCCTGTTAGCACTTTCACTTCAGTATCAGCTTAAAACCACATCCCCTGGTAGCACTTTCACTTCAGTATCAACTTCAAACTACATCCTCTGTTAACACTTTCCCTCTAGTATCAACTTTAAACCACATTCTCCGTTAGCACTGCACACTTTGAACCTCCATACATTGCCCTATTAATATTTGTTATTTCAATTGGTATACTTTAAGTAAAGGTAAAGGGCCCTTTTATACGCTTACATGCTTATTAGGCATATAGGGCTATACCCATATTTTATAGACCATTCGGCATTAATGAGCGATGTGGTCAAAATCACGCCGGCCGCCTTTAGTTCTCAGGACTGCACCTGATACCCACTCAAGGCTAAGTCGACCTGACAGCCAAGGTAATTTTTCTAAGAAAGCCTGTTCCCATTAGGACCCGAACCCAAGACCTTCTGATCCGCAGGCAAGCGTCTAGCCGCTGCACCACGGCGACTCCCATTGGAATACTAAAGCTTCCCAAATTTACCACAGTGACGTTGTAAGCTATCAAAAACGTTCTTAGAATCGATGAAATACCAGAGTTGTATCTGTCCATTGCGGCGTCCGTGGCTAGGGCGTTGCGAGTCCGACTCTTGAGCCAGCATACCGCGATCGAAACCCACTGCAGGTTGCGTGGATTTTTGTCGTGGTATGGGACGTCGCAGGTCGACCCAGTCTAAAATGGGTACCAGGATGGGCTGTACTGGGAAAGTAAAGACAGCCGGCGTAATGCTGACCACATTACCCACTGACTGTCTGTAAAAATATGGGACGCTCTGCCCATATGCCCGATGCGCCGAAAGGCGTGAAAAGGGATCTTTACTTTATTTACTAGTCCATTATTGGAATTTTTGTGTGTGTGGGTCCGGTTCATTTTCAATCCCGTGCAGTGCTTTTTTCTTTTTTTTTTTTTTAAATTTTGACTAGTGATGTTTTATTTTTTAACAAACACTTTGAAGCTTTTTCAAACTGTAATGATTGTGATAATCAACCCCAGAATTTGACAAATATCTGTCTTTACATTCTCCTATTTTTTTTTTTAAATTATGGAGCTGGGGCTGCGTTAGTATATGGACTGAGTGATGGTTGAAGTCAATTATAACGAAGAAGTTGAATTTGTAGGAAAACTGTGTGACTGTATCATTATAGAGTTTAAGGAAACTGTGAATGTATCATTATAGACGTGCGGGAAACTGTGTGAATGTATCAGTATAGAAGTGTAGAAAACTATGCGAATAT